AAACAGCTGGACGTTTCTGGATATGTTGGAGACATTTAGCCTCTCATCCCAGAGGCTTCTTCCAGACTTTGGTTGTGGTCAGAAACAAACACTGGTTGTGCTGCAAGTCTTTTTCTTTTTTGCTCCAAAACATGTTTTTACCTAAATGAAGGTGATGTTGTTGTTCATAGAATTAAAATTCATGTTGAAGTTAAGATTATTTCATCAAGTAGGACCTGTGGTTAGCTGGCTCATGTAAAGCATGTCATGTCTTGAAAGAATCGAAATCGGGAATCGATAGGAACCAGAATCGAAACAAGGAATTGGAATTGGAATCGGAATCGTTCTAAATTAAACGATGCCCAACCCTACTCTGCTTTCTCCTGGCCGCAGTCCAAGGTGGGCGGGGCCACAAATATTTATTTTCCCTGTGACCTAGAAGAGACTGGCTTTTCTGAGCCGATTGCTTTCACAACTATTTCCTTTATATGGCTAATGCAGGAGATTGGGGTAGAGGAACATGTTCATTATGAACATGAACTATACGGATTCTCAGCGAACCACACCTTTGAGAAATTAGTGATGGTGTGCAAAATATTAAAGTTCTGACCCATTTGAGGGCAGTTTAGACTGGAACAAACATGGAACACACAAATGTGAACTATTATCTGTATTCACATTTCACATGCAGTGATTCACGTACAGCTGTACATTTTAAAGTATACACAGCTTTATAATTAAGTATTGTGAGCATAATAGTTCAGGGAAGTGATTAAACGCAATATGTCTAAAATACCAATTTGCCCTATTTAGTTTTGATTCCGATTCATCAGGTTGTCCTGGTTTAGTTTGTGTGAAAATAGCTTCAAACCAAAGATCACAGCTCTGTTTCATCAGAACTTAGATAAGGTATCTTAACCTTGCTCTTAAAGATAACTTTAAACCACCCCATTGACCAGAGACACTTTCCCAATGCTTTTATTCATTTGTTTATTTTAATCTGTAATCCGATGTTAAACAGAGTCAGACTAACAGCAGTAAACCAGAGACCTAAAGCTAATAGTTAGAGGGTTACTGGGCTCTTTGTTGTTTTTCTCTTGGATGATGTTACGAACAGGGAATGTTAGTGCACATGAAGTGCAACTAAGAACCAGAACATTCGGTTTTTTAATGCAGGATTAGGGTACAATAAAATTACAGTACAGTAACCTGATGCACAAGCTACAGTTTCTTCAACAATCCTTTTGTCGAGTCAAGTTTCCATAAACCAAACTGACACATTTGGGAAGACCAAAACAAGAGCAGGGTTTCCGCCACTCTGAGTGTTTCATGCAGGCTAAACATGAAGTAGTCTCCTACACCTATCTCCTGCATTAGCTTCTGATGATGCTGACGGATCTACATCACACTGTCACTTAACATTCATGGACTCGCCCATCTAGACTTACAACGGTGAAGGCTGTTGTTGGTTTAGCATCCAGGAAACAGCAGAGAACGTCTCAGCTAGTAGGTGCTAACTGTTAGCATTAGCAACTCCACCACACAGCAGAACACCTCCAGTGTTGTTCGTGGGGAGAAAACATCCCTGTCGCAGAGCAAACAAAGTCAGTGGCAGTGTTGTGTTGCTGTTATCCAATCAGAGGCGAGATGTCCAAATATCAGGAAATATGACTCCAAATCCTGCCATGTTGAGCTCCCCTCGGATCTGGCATTCTGCTTGTTCCTGAAACAGGCGCAGCTGAGCTTTTTACCCTAGAGTGTGACTTGCAAGTCATTCATTCCTGCTAGAGACCACTGCAAATGTATTGATAACGAGTGAACCACACCTTTAACCCTTTTATGTCCACACCAAGAAATAAGAACAATTACCGCTTTTTTATTCCTCTGGAGTGATAAAAATAACAATGTCTAATGCTTAATGGTTAAAAGAGGAAAAGAGGATCCAACAAAATAAAAGTGTCAAAATATTTGCATCATACTGTAAATGGATGTGTGAACTCACATGTAGGATATTTAAACACAGGTGTGATAAAACATAACAGATGCTTAAAATATTGAATACCATTGTAAAAATCAGTGTCAAATCTTAAAACACAATAATAGGGCTGCATGGTGAAGTTGCCACCACTGTTGTCTTGCAGCCCGAAGGTTCAAATCCCTGCTGCGACCCTTGCGAGCAGAGACAGCGTGTTCTTATCGTGCACGTACAGGTTTTCTCTGGGTACTCCAGCTTCCTCCCACAGACCACAAACAAACATGTTCAGTCAATTTGTTCGCTGTTTTGGATAAAAGCATCTGGGAATTGAATACACACACTAATAATAAAAGGCTAAGCATAAACACAGCAGAGGTTTAGCTCTAATCATTCATGTTTCTGTCAGTAATCCGTGTGAGCCTCTTTAATTAAGGGTATGCGTGTGAAATAGTTTGGTCTACTACCCTGCTGACCTCTCGGGCTCCATGTGAGGCTGTGTCTGGTGGTTTGTTTGTGTACCCAGTTCACCATGATGGTGCTGCTGTAAGAATAAACTGTCACATGCTTTTGGTTTACACTACAGAGCAGCATTTGATGATAGTGCTGCTTCGTCACTGGTTCAAAGCCGACGGTGCTACAGTTTAATCCCACAGATCAGTATTTGTTACTAGTTAACTCTGAATTCACAGTGTAGCAAACATTGCTGTAGAAACAGCCCTCTATTTTTCTGCTGGCAGTGAAAGGCTGGGCTTCCTGGGTTGTATCTCAATTACACGCCAGAGAAGGAAAGGACTGTGGCCAGACAGCAGATTTATCACTGACAGGAGCTGGTCGTGATGATAGGCTCTGCAGATTCACCACACCATCACCGGCTGAATTGTCTTGTAATTATGTCTTCTGCACATCGTTCTGTCGGCATGAAAGTGAAACTTGGCTCATGAAACCGTCCTGGTTCAAAATGGGTTTTCAGACGGTTGTAAAAACACGTCTGAAAGTAAACACTTTGTAAGTGAAGCTAAGGAAGGAAAGAAAGATAAAGGAAATGGGATTTTGTCAGACTCAGAAAAAAGAGCACCTGAAAACGACTAGACCAAAAAAACAAACAAACAAAATGAGCTTTGTAAAAAGTGATGCATTCAAAATTCAGTGTGTGTGTTTCCCCAGATCTTTTAATTTCAACTTTTGATGATTTTTTAATAGTTTTTTTTATTTTGTTAAAATTGTTATTGTTGTTGTTAGCAGTAGCAGCAGCAGGAGTAGTAGTAGCAGTAGTAGTTGTAATTAAACAAGCTAAATATTTCTAGATTTAGCTTTACACTGTTCTATTTAACCTTTTTTGTTCTTTTTTAGCTCTGTCTCCTTTTGTAAAATATAAAATTTCTGAAAACCAGCTCACACCCGGCCAGTTTAGGGGTTATCCTCCTGGCTAGAAATGACTAAATGGGACGTGTGATTGGGCCAGTGGTCGTCATGGAGACCCAGAGTCTGTAAACAGTAGGAACAGTGTTGTAGCTGAATCGTGTAGTGTCAGCCTGAATCCTCAACGTGGAGGGCTTAGCAAAATCAGCCTGGAGTTGGTGTAACGGCCTCCATTCATATCCGCTGCCCTCTTCAATTCTGTCACAGACGTGAAGAAGATTTATTGTGCTTCGTGAACTCGGGCTGTGTGTTTCATAGAGCAGGGGAATAATACATTTTTGTAAACAAAGCAGTTTTAGTGGCTTTCTAAAACAGAACAATAAGCACTCTGTGGATTTTTAGACATATGGTACCAATCAGTAGCAGTTGGGGTCAATCTATTCTCCTTTTACTGCACTCAACAATGGATTTTTATGGATTCTCTCTCTCTCTCTCTCTCTCTCTCTCACACACACACACACACACACACACACACACACACACACACACACACACACACACACACACACATTTTGTGAAGTTAAAGAAGTTACACGAGCCAGACAGGACGTGAGACGTGGTTCGAGGTGTGTCGGCAAAACCCTCGTTGCAATTTTTCCTGGCATTTTTTTTTTTTTTTGCGTAAATGACAGGGCTATCAGTTCGCAGTGTATGATATATGTTTAAACGTCTAATGTCATATTTATCATGTGAATTTGCATAAAGCCCCCAAGATTTGGGGGTCTTGCAGGAGCACATTTCGGGAGACACACTGCTTACGATACTCAGCCAGTGTAAATGGCCGTCCGAACGGAAGCCGCACAGAAACCAGACCGCATCTGTGCTGTACTCGGTGTCAGCAGCCCTTTTTACAAGCCACACTACGCCGGTAAATCAGCATAATATTACCGCAGCAGTGTGTCTAAGCGCACGGTGCCGGCATGGTGATGTGCGAATTTTGCGGCGTTCGTTCCGCCTCGCCAGCTAGTAATATTACTGTAATTGTCTGTTTTTTAAACGGCGCCTTTCCGCAACAGAGGGTGGTGTCGTGATCATGTGGGGAGCTACTACCAAGCTCTGGCCGGCAGCTATTTTGAAAATGAAAGTGAAAACGGGCTGAAAAGTTGGCTTTTGTGAACAAAATCAGCTGAGATGATAATCTGGAGTAATGCAGCACTCCAGGAGCTTCTCTTCGTTAGAGCTGGAGGTCAGATCACCAGAGACTGCATGGGGACAGACACCTTTAGGAGCGGCCTGTTAAAAAAACCTATTTTAAAAAAAGGTCTTGTTAAAAAATGTAGTTAAATGAGCGCGGCTTTGATCGCAATAAAAAGTGAGATATGTCCAAGATAAACGGAAGTCCGCGCCAGCGCAGGGACCGCCCCTATTCCCCCTTTAGCTTTAACATGATTGCGCAACATAACCGCCGCGACCTAAGGGTCCCTGATGCCACTTCAGCGATGAGGCTAAATTACGGCATTGTTTTGAAAAACGGCTAATGAAGCGTGAATGAGCTTAGAGGAAAATAGTAAATTAATAACTGAGCAAGAAACTAGGAGATCCTCAAGCCTGGACCGTGCTGCATTTTCTGAAAGCATCCGTGCCCACCCTCAGTTTTTTTTTTTTTACCTGTATCATCTGTTTTCAGGCGTTGGACAAGCACAAAGCCATTGACAGCATGGTGGAGCTACTGCAGGTGTATTCAGAAGAAGATGAGGCTTATGGAGACCTACTGGAGGCCATCACCCAGCTTTACCACTACCTGCTTCAGCCCTTCAGAGACATCAGGGAACTGGCAACTTTGCGACGACAGCAAATTAAGGTAATACACAGGAGAACAGAGAAACCAATCCCATCTGTTCTTTAAGCTTGACTTAAGAAGGTTTAGATCCTGTCCTAGCCAGCTTACTCTGCTGTCCTTGAAACATTTTGTCACGTGGTTTGCTTCTGCTCTTCCCCATTGAACCCCAGCTGTTATAAGGTAGTGGTGAAACGAGGCCACTAACCCTCATCCACTGAACAGTCCATGTTATCACCATGATGATGGTGATGATGGCAGGCTAGAGGGCAGAGGATCAGTCAGAGAAGCTGTTTTCCTCAGCCAGAGCAGATTAAGTACCAGCCTAAGTATTATTACAGCAGCCACTAAACCACTCAGTAATTCTGCAGCCTCGGCACTCCTCTGCTTTCCACACTCTTACTCTGCTCTCGTTATTGCCTTTCATTAGACACGTTCAATGGTAATAAAGCTGCTAGAGAACTACCATGCAGCTTGGTTCGATGTTAACGCGTCAGATTTGTTCAACAAGTCAGTGTCCTACTTGTTCAGACTGTTTTAAATGTGGGTTTTATGCTCTAACCTTAAACACAGCCTTTTCCATGGCTCCAAACAAGCCTTTCATTAACAAACAACGCCTGGAAGTTACTCAGGTTTGCATCTAATCTAATATTACGATGTTGGTCAGAAATATTGATTTAGCATTTTAACATTCTGTTTAAATTCTGCTTAGGCTGTATCTCACTGGGCTGTCAGTGTTTGCACATGACTTGAGTGAATTAGGCCTCTTCTCATTAAAAAAATCACGCTGAAATGATAAATAACAGCAGGTTTGTAAGGTGTGTTTCCACCGTTGGAACTTCAGGGTAATCTTTCCGGAGCTTCCCAGCATGCGTGCGTCTCCTTTTCAGCGGGCCAGCCGAACGGAGAGTTGTCCAGGTCATTTTCAGGAACCAGTCGCCGAAGCAAGACGTGATGTGCTGACGTCTCGGCACTTCTTGAAAACATCTGCTACAACAGCTGAGAGGACAGAGCCATTGTGTCGCCCAGTTTTTTCCTTCTTTCTAAAAATGACCCTGAAGTCCCGACAGTGGAAACGCGTCTGTTGAGGTTTATCAAACATGAGGGCTGTGTCCAAATTCAGAGGCAGCATCCTTGTAGGCCGTATGCCTCGGTGCTTTGTAGACTGCTTAGACCGTAAATGAGTGGCTTTGAAATTGCACAGTGTAACTTTCCTTTTTAGTGCTGCCCTTACCTGAGCTTATTTCCTGTTGCCTAGAAATCGCGACAACCCTGAACAGAGAAGTTAAAGAGCAAGTCACCCCTTACCAGGGTCTTACTCCACTCCCACTTCCTGTTTGAAAAATGCAGCAAATGCTGTTGCCTGGCAGACCAAGAGGGTGGAGCCGCTAACAAATACACACACACGCACGCACACACACACACACACAGGCTCACAACGACATAGTGACATCATATGGTGCCAGCTGAAGTCATAGGGTACCTCTTAGCCAATAGCGATAGCAATTAAATTCAAATGCAGGGCAGAGTTTTTACCTGAAGAGAATGCAACACTGACAGTTTTAGAAAATTTTAATTTGAACTAAGATGCACTAAAGTGCCAAATTATTGACCACATGTGTCTACAACAGTGTTTCCCAACCCTTGTCATCAGGGACCACTGTCCTACAAGTTTTCCATGTCTCTGCTTCAGCACACCTGATTTTCATTGGCTTCTCAGGAGGACATCAAGTTCTGCAGATACCAGTTAATCGCTCATTCATTTAAGTCAGTTGTGTGGCAGCAGTGTTTGAAAGGTCAACATGGAAAACATGAAGGACAGCGGTCCCTGAGGACCAGGGTTGGGAAACACTGGTATATATATATATATATATATATATATATATATATATATATATATATATATATATATATATATATATATACATGCATACAGTACAGGCCAAAAGTTTGAACACACCTTCTCATTCAAAGTGTTTTCTTTATTTTCTTTATTTCTTTCTTTATTTTCATGATCATTTACAAAGGAGACAACAAGTGCTAAACACTTCTGGGACCTCATACAAGACTGTCGGAAAACCATTTCAGGTGACTACCTCTTGAAGCTAATCGAGAATGCCAAGAGTACAAAGCGGTTATCAAACCAAAGGGTGGCTTTTTAGAAGAAAATAGAATATAAAACTTTTTCAGTTATTTCACCTTTTTTGGTTGAGTACATAACTCCTCATGTGTTCATTCATAGTTTTGATGCCTTCAGTGAGAATCTACCAACGTAAATGGTCATGAAAATAAAGAAAGCACATTAAATGAGAAGGTGTTTCCAAACCTTTGGCCTGTACTGTAAATAAATAAAAACATTAAAAAGTTGTTATGTTTTCCTGTTAGGTCGACCATAATTCCAGTAACGAAACCTTTCTGTTTGGCCAACAATGAATCCTGGGATGGGATGGGTCAGTAAGAGCACACCAGAAATGTTCTGAAGGTCTGTTTATGAAATTTGGTCCAAACAAGGATGCATTTTAAGTATAATTCCAGTTTGATTGGATGTTTGTATTATAACTTAAACATGAGCATGTGAATTATTGATTATTCTTTTTATTCTGAGCTACTACAGCAATCAATTTCCCTCTGGGATTAATAAAGTATTTTTGAATTGAATTGAATTTAACAGTCCATGGCCCTGAAGCGACCCGCAAGAGCAGAAGTAAATACGTATAGATGCTACACGTGTCATGTGTGATGTTGCTCATTAAAATCAATCAAGACTTGTGCAGGGTGTCCGCGGGGTTTTAAAAAGTATTAAAAAGTGATAAATAAAAATAGTCAAATTTCAGGCCATTAAAAGTGTTAAATTTGGTCTCAGAGGTATTATTTTTTCCAAATTAGGTATTATTTTTTCAGACTATCAGATGTCGTATTCTGAACATCGACATAGAAATATATTCCGAATGAAATGTTTTGAACGATTATAAAAACAAAACAAGCCGATTATTTGCTCCTCCCACTTGCGCTGCCTTGAGTAGCAAATGAAGCGCTCCTCCCAGTGTTGCCAAGTTAACTTAGCGATTTTGACGCTATTTCTAACAGCTTCTCAGACCCCCTTCTTGACTTTTTAAATCTTAAAAGTACCTACTACCTAGCGAACACCTCAGAAACATCTCTGGTAACCCTTAGCTACTTTCTGGATAACTGTCGTCGACATTTCCTGCAGGTTAGCTAAACACTCCGCCTGCACTCCGGACTAGAGCCCTGCACTGAAGCCCTAGGCCCTCGGGTCGGCCCGGCCCGACGGCCCTCGGGCCGGGCTTCGGGCCAACGACTGTGTAATTACCTCGGACACGGGCCGGGCCGGGCGCCTTTATTTTTATTCGAAATCATTAAAAAAATTAAAACACTTAAACGCAGCAGTAGAGCCCTGTGCGGGACTGTTTTCTTCATCCCGCTCCGCTCCCGCTGAATTTCTGACCATTACAGCCTGCAACCGCAACGTGTGTGTTACACTCCCGCCCGCACCTGCAGCGTGCATGTCTACTCCCGCCCGCACCTGCAGCGTGCATGTCTACTCCCGCCCGCACCTGCAGCGTGCATGTCTACTCCCGCCCGCACCTGCAGCGTGCATGTCTACTCCCGCCCGCACCTGCAGCGTGCATGTCTACTCCCGCCCGCACCTGCAGCGTGCATGTCTACTCCCACCCGCAACCGCAAAACTCGGAGAAATTATTACCTCACAATAAAAGAGATGTATTGAGTTTGCGTCCTCAACATGTCATTTTATAGGTTATCCGCTTTCACAGCAGCGCTGCGCTCCGTTTCAATCAGGCTGTACAGTATCGCGTCATACCCCTGTCAAAACCCGTGCACGCGCATTGGGTCCACAGCGCGCGTGTGAACGGGACTCGCGAGCGAAAATATACATGGCGAGAGGTCATTTGTGCACTGAGAGGGAGCAAACTGTGTCTGTGAGCGCACAAGGATGTGCACAAGTGACAAACCTGCGTGCGCGCGTTGTCAACGAGCACACGGCAGAGGAAAACGTGCGCGCGCGGCAGCCTCTGTGCGCGCTCGGCAGCCTCTCTGCGCGCTCGGTTTCTGACTCCTGCTCGCTCGGCTGTAAGGGTTTTGGCACTCTGGAGGCGTGGCCTGTGGCAGATCTTCTCTGTCCTCTGATTGGTTAGTGTACCCCGCACTTTACCCTCTACCTATCTATATAAAAAAGTCTACTAGTCAAGTAGTCGCTGGCATAGCTCAGTTGGAAGAGCGGGTGACTCTCGCCCCGGAGGATCCAGGTTCGAGGCCGGGCAAGGAAAATGCAGTAGATGTCATGTTAATTTTTCTTAATTTCAGGTATTTTACAGTTGTGACCGTTCAACTGTCATTAAACGTCCGAATGTTTGCTGGGCAGTGTTTTAAAAAGTGCACATAAGCTAGATGGTTTTAACCATATAAAATTACATTTTTTGTGATACTGGAAAAATACATACTGAAATAAAACTACTGATTGAAAACTTTATGACTGTGGTTGTACAATATATGACTCACTAATACACTGCAAACTCCCTTAGAGTGGGGCTTCCAGAGAGAGAGAGAGAGAGAGAGAGAGAGAGAGAGAGAGAGAGAGACAGAGAGAGAAAAGTTCTTGCCTCATTAATGAATTGTTTATTTTTTTCAGTATTTAATTGACAAATTATCCTTTCAAATAATTAATTGATGAGTTACATAATTGTCCATTTAGAATTGTTGAATGGACTGAGTCAAGTTTGGTGCACTTTATATATTTCAAAACATGTTTTTTTTTTAAAATTTTAATGATGCATATAAATAATTTAAATGTTAATTTAATGAAATATTTCTATTTTTTCATTACCTCACCCTTGTTTTGACAAAAACGGGACCTTGCTGGATAATATCATGGAGAAACTATTTGTTCACAGTACATGGCTCCGTAAGGATCTGTGTACCAAAGGAGGAGATACTCAGAAATCTGTCTGCAGATTGTTACAACTCAGACTGGAAGTGGCGGGCTG